CAGGTCCTAAGCCATGGAGCGCTTTAAAGGCGATAACCAAAACCTTGAAGCGCACTCGGAAGACCACCGGGAGCCAGTGCAGCTCGCGCAGGAGAGGTGTTACATGGGAGCTCCACGTCGCTCCCATAACCACCCGCGCGGCCGCACTCTGCGCCAGTTGGAGCCTCCGAGTGAACCTCAAGGGGAGCCCCATGTAGAGAGCATTGAATTAAACGTTCTGCTTTCTTCCGAAACTTTTTTTTTCTTGGATTTATCCATGGTTGGCCTATCTGGGGTTGAAAAGCTCAATAATTGCATGCCGACGGGTGTCGCACATTGGTGGTTGTGACGCATATTTTGAGTGACGGAGCCGCAGCAGAGGGGTGAAAGAGCCACATGCGGCTCCAGAGCCACAGGTTGCCGACTCCTGGGCTAGTCTAATGAAAAGAAGGACTAGGGGTGACATGATAGCAGTATCCCAGTATTTGAGGGACTGCCACAAAGAAGGGTCAATTTATTTTCCAAAATACCAGAAGGCAGGACAAGAAACTATGGATGGAAACTAAACAAGGAGAGAAGCAACCTGGAATCGAGGAGAAGCTTCTTAACATTGAAGACAATTAACCAGTGGAACTGCTTGCCACCAGAAGTTGCGGGTGCTTCATCGCTGGGGGTTTTTAAGGAGAGACTGGACAGCCATTTGTCTAAAATGGGACAGGGTCTCCTGCTCAAGCAGGGGGTTGGACTAGAAGACCTCCAAGACCCCTTCTGACTTTATTCTAATTACATTACATATTTGTCGGAAATGGGACAGGGTTTTCTGCTTGAGCAGGGGGTTGGACTAGAAGACCTCCAAGGTCCCTTCCGGCTCTGTTTGGATCAATTGAGGCCATTCGGCTTGTTACTGATTGACTGCCTTCCTTCCTTCCTTCCTTCCTTCCTTCCTTCCTTCCTGGGTGGGTTTGATTTAAATCGAGTCTATTTAAATCATGATTTAAATTTACTAGTGATTTAAATCATTAGTAAAAAGGCTTGATTTAAATCATAATTTTTAAAGAGCAACTGTCACTTCTGCTACTCCTTTGACCCACTGTTGACTCACCGATAGTCCCGGTGTTGCAGAATATACAGCCTCCTGCTACATAACTAAGCTTCATTTCATGCTGAATAAACTAAATTATTTATGTATCTTAAATAGAAAACTATCTTACGATAGATTTTTACCCCAAAAGTTTTTTATTAAAATAAATTCAATAAAAATCAAAAAAATCTGATTTAAATCAAAAAAATCCGATTTAAATAAAAAAAAATCTGATTTTTTTGATTTTTTTTTAAAAAAATCATTGATTTTTATCCACCCTGCTTCCTTCCTTCCTTCCTTCCTCTTAACCATTCCCTTAGGGATGAAGATAAAATCCTGTGTAATAGAAGGGAATGCCGGATGGGGAATATTTGCAAAGCGACCCTGGCTGTAAGGATTTTCTCCGAAAAAAATACCTTGTCCGTGTAACGCAAGGCACAAGACGCCGAAACCTTAATCTCTGCTGCGGTTTCCAGACCTTGTTTGAAGAGGCCTGTTTGATCGTCTTTCACCGTCGGGCGTCTTTTCAGATGTTGACTTTGTGCTCAGTGTGCGAACATACATTTTATTATTTAATACGTTTTTTTTCCCCCCTCCTCGTACAAAAACGAGGGGCTTTAGAATGGCAGGATTTTTTCCCTTTTTAAAAGAAGAGGATTTTGGCCCTTTTTGGCACTTTTTCAGATGGCATCTGCGAGCGCAACGTTCCACCTTTTGCGAATTAAAGAATATAAAGCAGACGGCAATACGGTTATTGGAACAGGTTGTCCTCTACGCAGCAGAGTATCCGAAGACCCTGATATTCTCTAGATTGCAGAGCGTAACGTAAAACATCGAAGCCAGGGTTTCCCAATCTTGCTAATGGGATGCCTTCAGGACCCAGAATTCCCCAGCCGGCAATGGCCTTTGCTAAGGAATTCTGGGAGCCGAAGTCCATCATTGGCAAGTTGTGAAATGGGATGTAGACTTAAAATATGGTAGGCCTGATTCGTACGGATAACATCGGTTTTCAATTACGCAGGGATTTTAAGCCCAGACACAATTGAGTTATTAGGCAAACCTTTCCTTGAAACAAACGGTATGTCAATAATTTGCACTCCTTGGTGAAATGTTGCCTACTTTCCTTGTTAGCTGGAGCCTTCTTTCCTTCCTTCCTTCCTTCCTTCCTTCCTTCCTTCCTTCCTTCCTTCCTTCCTTCCTTCCTCCCTCCCTCCCTCCCTCCCTCCCTCCCTCCCTCCCTCTCCTCGGCCTGCCCAGTGTCTCATCCTCCCTTCCCTCCCTCCCTCCCTTCCATCATTCTCCTTTCCCTCCCTCCCATTTTCTTTCCTTCCCCCCTTCCCTCCCTCCTCCTTACTTATTATTTTTTTTTTTAATTTGATTTATATGCCGCCCTTCTCCGGAGACTTAGGGCGGCTTACAATGCTTTTAAGCAATAGCCTTCATCCTTTTGTATATTTTATACAAAGTCAGCTTATTGCCCCCACAATCTGGGTCCTCATTTTACCTACCTTAGAAAGGATGGAAGGCTGAGTCAACCTTGAGCCTTGGCGAGATTTGAACCTGCAGTAATTGCAGGCAACTGATGTTACTAACAGTGCTTTAGTCTGCTGCGCCACTAGGCTCCTTACTTACTTCTCTCCCACCCATTCTCTTTCCTTCCTTCCTTCCCTCCCCCTCCTCAGCCTGTGCCTGTGTCTCATCCTCCCCTCCCTCCCTCCCTCCCTCCCATCTCATTCTCCTTCTTTCCCTCCCACCCATTTTCTTTCCTTCCCCCTTCCCTCCCTCCTTCCCTCCTCCTGTGCCTGGGCTTTATCCTCCCCTCCCTCTCTCCCCCCTCCCTCCCTCCCTCCTTTCCATCTCATTCCCCTTCTTTCCCTCCCTACCTCCCTCAGTTGTTGCGTACAAAAGAGGAGCCGGATAATGGATTATATACGTTCACCACCTTGAGTTGTTTATTGAAATGAGGCATGCAAATAAAAATAAATAAAAATGTTGCAGGAACTGGGATTTCGGCATTGATTGATCGGAGCCCAGCCTCTGGATTGGCCAGTTTTCACTCCTGTCTCTTGTGCGTTGTCTGTCAGGTGAGGCTCCCGATGACAATCTCCCGAGTAGTAGTAACTCTTGCATAAAGTTATGTGTGAGTTAAAACCTTTGATGGTAAATATGACAGATAAATCACCTTATTTTGAAGAAGAGTGGCCCGAAATATGGATAGCTCTCTGCTTAGATTACACACTACGTGCTACCCAAGAAATATTAATAATGCATTTAATCTTTCTGGGAAATAGGATTTTTATAATCATAATGATATTATATCTGCGTGCTGTGCTGATAAGTCGAAATCACATTGCTTGCTAGACTTGAAGCTTTATGCATATAATAAAGGCTGGCATTCATGCTTAGAAGTGCTCTTGCCTGTTAAAAACCAGCAATTATACGTCTCTACCGCAGCTTCTGGGCGCATTATGACCTTATCAGTAGACACGAGCTGGGAGGAATGCTCTTCCGTGTCTCGGGGTGCCAGTTCCATTGAAATTTGGAACAAGACTTTGGAAAAAGTGCAGAGAAGAGCAACAAAGAAGATGAAAGGCCTGGAGACTAAAACATATGAAGAACGGTTGGAGGATTTGGGTTTGGCTAGTCTAGAGAAAAGAAGGACTGGGGAGGGGGGACATGATAGTCTTCCAGTATTTGAAGGGCTGCTACAATGAAGAGGCAGTCAAGCTATTCTCCAAAGCACCTGAGGGCAGGAGAAGAAGCAATGGGTGGAAACTAACCAAGGAGAGAAGCAACTTAGAAGTAAGGAGAAATTTCCTGACAGTTAGAACAATTAACCAGTGGAACAACTTGCCTCCAGAAGTTGTGAATTCTCCAACACTGGAAATTTTTAAGAAGAGATTGGACAACTATGTGTCCTGCATGAGCTGCACTGGCTCCCGGTAGTCTTCCGGGTGCGCTTCAAGGTTTTGGTTACCACCTTTAGAGCGCTCCATGGCTTAGGGCCTGGTTATTTACGGGACCGCCTGCTGCCGCAAACGGCCTCCCACCGGCCGGTATGCTCTCACAGAGAGGGGCTCCTCCGGGTGCCGTCGGCCAAACAATGTCGGCTGGCGGCCCCCAGGGGGAGAGCCTTCTCTGTGGGGGCACCTACTATCTGGAACGAGCTCCCCCCGGAGATACGGAGGATTCCGGATCTGCGCACCTTCCGCCGCGCTTTCAAGACCTTTTTATTTCACCAGGCTGGTCTGGCCTAACCTCTCCCATTCTCTTTTTAATGTAAATTTTAATGTAAATTTTGATTTGTTCTTAACCTCGGGTTTTAAATTTGTCTTGGGCTAAATTGATTTAATTCGATTTTACTTTTGTTCTTAATTTTTGTATTTTACGTGTTTTATTCTGTGCCTGTTCACCGCCCTGAGTCCTTCGGGAGTAAGGCGGCATACAAATTAAATGAAATGAAATGAAATGAAAAAAAAAAATGAAATGGCATAAGGTTTCCTGCCTGAGCAGCGGGTTGGACTAGAAGACCTCCAAGGTCCCTTCCAACTCTATTATCTGCTCCTCGAACCAAAGGCCAGAAGTAACATTCATTAACGGTAGAGGGTCTCCTGCTTTATTCCAACTCGCCCTGTACAATTTGCCATGGCCAACTCGCCACAGGACAACTCGGCGAGGGCCAATTCAACCGTCCCATTGAATTATTTAAAATAGTGGGGGAAAAAAAATGTTTTCATTTTTGTCCTTCACATTTCGTTCCGTCCCTCCTTTCTTTAATGATTCCGTTCCACTCTTTCTTTGATTTTGCTGTAACTCTGGCTGTAACCAACCCATTCTGGCAAATTCCCGGCTTCTTTCAATGGTCCTTTTTTTAGTTTGGACACCTCCCGTTTTGACCGTATCATTCACTTTTCTTGGTTCTTTTTTTTTTTTTTTGCAGATCAAAACAAAACCAATTGTCCCTCCAAGATGAAGTGGCTAAAGCCCTTGACCGGGAGAGGACTGCGTCCAGCGAGCATTTGGCTAGGGCTGTTCTGCGCGAGAGAGTTTCAGCCGAAGATGAACGCATGAAGACACAGCTACTGGTAAGTTGTACGGTTCTTCCCAAGATTATGCGGTTGCAAAAATACCTAAAATCAGGGGTCTCCAACCTTGGCAACTTTAAGACTTGTGGACTTCAACTCCCAGAGTTCCTCAGCCAGCAAAGCTGGCTGACCATACAGGCAGTCCTCAACTTACAACTGTTTGCTTAGTGACCATTCAAAGTTACAGTGGCACTGAAAAGAGCGACTTATGACCGTTTTTCACACTTACGACGGTTGCAGCGTTCCCCCCAGTCACCTGATCAAAATTTTAGTCGCTTGGCATCAGGTCCACATTTATGACGGTCTCGGTGTCCCGGGGTCACGCAATCCCCTTTTGCGACCTTCCGACAATCAAAGTCAACGGGGGGGAGAGGGGGGAGAGCCAGATTCACTTAACGACCAGGTTACCAGCTTAAGATCCACTGGAAAAAGTGATAATCGTTCCTCACATTTACAACGGTCTCGGCATTCCCGATGATCATGTGATCAAAATGGGGGGGGGAGGGTTTGCCAACCCGTGTGTATTTACGACGGCTGCAACATCACACGGAGTCCGCTTGATCGCCATTTGTGACTAGTAAAGTGAATGGGGGAAAGCCAGATTCATTTAACGGCCACACGAATCCCTTAACTGCCATGATTCACTTAACAGCTATGGCAAAATAAGGTGGTAAAATTGGGCCTGGCTGACTTAACAGCTGCCTTTGTTTAGCAACCAACATTCTGGTTTTCAAATTTGTGGTCGTAAGTCGAGGACTGCCTGTAATTTAAAAAAAAACAAACCCATGATTTAAAAATGTCAGTAGTGATCTACTAAATTCATCATGTTCAAATTAAGTACCATATTTTTCGGAGTATAAGACGCACCTACCTTTTTTGGTGAGGAAAAGAAGAAAAAGAAATCTGCCTCTGCCTCCCAGCAATTTTGCCTCCTTGCAGCAAACAGCAATTAGCCTGATTTACTTTCATTTTCGTTTTCAGCATAGCTTGATTAGCACAAGAAAAAAAAAACTGCTCCCAGCAATTTACCTCCTTGCAGCAAGCAGCAGAGGCCCCCCGCACAAAACAGCAGAGAGCAAAACAGCTGAGAGTCGGGAGGCCGATCCAATCAACTTGTGCTAATCAGGCTGTGCTGAAGCTAAAAGGAACTGTTTCTTCTTGCTGTTCGCTTGCAAGGGGGTAAACTGCTGGGAGGCAGAGGCCAAAGGTGGGGGCCAGTGGGTGGGTGAGGCTGCATTCGGTGTATAAGATGCACCTAAATTTTCACCCCCATTTGTGTGTGTGTGGGGGGAAGGTGCATCATACTCTGAAAAATATGGTTTATATTTATATTTATATTTATATTTATATTTATATTTATATTTATATTTATATTTATATTTATATTTATAACATGACCTACCTATGCATTTCCTCATTTTACTAAAAGATAACCTAAATTATCTTATTTTGGGGGAATGGAACCGCAGGGATTCCCTTCATCCAAAATTTTGCTTGAAAGACTTTCCCTGGTGGGTTTTTATTTTCTCCCCTTCTTCAATACGTTCCCGTTCCTGCTCTTGAAACATGCATTTAACTTTTTAAGTTCTTTTGAGGCACTTAAAAAGGGAAGGTCGCTATTTTTCCATTTGAAAGTGTGGCATTGTTGGCAAAATGTCAAGCTTTTCAATTTAGGAAGGAGCTGCCAGGTTGATAGAAGGCAGGTCATGAATGGAGCTGCAGAAGGCATCCACGTGTCCGGTGAAAATGGACTCGACTTCCTTTTACACCCTTCAGGGAAAGTGTGGGTAAGATTGTAGCCTGGGCAGCTTCCATCTTTTGGAATTGACAAACCTGGGGAAGCCAGGCAGAGGATTTTGCGAAGGCAAATCATATAATATTGTAACGCTCTCTACATGGGGCTCCCCTTGAGGAGCACCCGAAGGCTCCAACTGGCGCAGAGTGCGGCCGCGCGGGTGGTTATGGGAGCGACGTGGAGTTCCCTAACACCTCTCCTGCGCGAGCTGCACTGGCTCCCGGTGGTCTTCTGAGTGCGCTTCAAGGTTCTGGTTATTACCTTTAAAGCGCTCTATGGCTTAGGACCTGGTTATCTACGGGACCGCCTGCTACCACCAATAGCCTCCCACTGGCCAGTACGCTCCCATAGAGAGGGGCTCCTCCGGGTGCCGTCGGCCAAACAAAGTCGACTGGCGGCCCCCAGGGGGAGAGCCTTCTCTGTGGGGGCACCGACGATCTGGAATGAGCTCCCCCCGGAGATACGGAGGATCCCGGATCTGCGCACCTTCCGCCGCGCTCTCAAGACCTTTTTATTTCATCAAGCTGGCCTGTCCTAAATCTTCTCCCCTTTTTAAATGTAAATTTTAATTTGTTTTTAAATTATGGGGTATTTTAAATTCAGCCAAATTATTTAATTCGTTTTTATTCTATTTTAAATTTTTGTATTTATGTGTTTTATCCTGTGGCTGTTCACCGCCCTGAGTCCTTCGGGAGTAGGGTGGTATAGAAATTTAATAATAAATAAAATAAATAAAAAATAAAAATATTCCCTATCCTTGAGCTCAGAACCCGAAAGATAGAACATAAAATGGGCAGGGGAAGGTTAAAAAGGAAAGAATCCATACCCTCCTCATTCCTTGGGACCCCCAACCCTAAAACAGTAATTTTAGGAGGGGCCCTTCTGTTTTACCCCTTCTTACTATATTCTTCGACAGCATGCTATCAGTCATAGAGTCCTTTGGGATTCTTGTGTAATCCCCCACGGAATGGGAGAGCTTGCCGTGGCCAACTCACTGTGGGGCACTTTAACAATTCAATTTAATTATTTAAAACGTAAATAATAATAAAAAAAAAAAATTCAATTTTTTTGCCATTCACATTTCGTTCTGCCCCTCCTTTCGCCTCCTTTTCTTTAAGGATTCTATTCCACTCTTTCTTTGATATTAGTGTCACTCTTAACCCCGCTGCGAATTGTCCTGCGGCGAGTCAGCCATAGTGGGTTGGCTCTGGCCAGTTGGCCGTGGCCAGTTGCCCAGCCATAAATTTGGACCAGTTTCCAAACACCCAAAAGGTTATAATAATAATTTTTCCAAACTATGTTATAATAATAATAATTTTAATTAGCAATTTTATGATGTTTGTGTATCTATATTTTTCTTGACTGTACACCGCCTTGAGTCCTACGGGAGAAAGGCGGTATAGAAATATAATAAATAAATAAATAAATAAATAAATATAAATAAATAAATAAATAAATAAATAAATAAATAAATAAATAAATAAATAATAAATGTGATTGTGTGACCGGGGGGGCAAGGAGAGGGCACAGCCATTGATTGTAACGTCAAAACTGGATTGTAAATAGCTCTGGGGATGTCCATGATAACTCTGAATGGTCGCAATGGGGCCAGTCCTATGTCAGATCAAATCAAATCAGAACACAGCTGGAAGGGACCTTGGAGGCCTTCTAGTCCAGCCCCCTGCTCAAACAGGAGACCCTTATATCATTTCTGACAAGTGGCTGTCCAGCCTCTTCTTAAAAACCTCCAGTGTTGGAGCACCTATAATTTCTGGTGGCAAGCTGTTCCAGTGGCTAATTGTCCTCCCTGTTAGGAAGTTTCTCCTTAATTCCAAGGTTGCTTCTCTCATTGATCCGTGTCCCCTCCATTGTTTTTTTGTCCTGCCTTCTGAAAGTAGGCAGGAAATAAATAAATAAATTGGAAATAAATTGGAGCACTCTTTTTTGAGGCAGCTCCTCAAATACCCTCCTCACCTCCGGTTCTTCTTTTCTCTAGAACCCAAATCCTGCAACCGTTCTTCATATGTTTTAGTCTCCAGGTCTTCAGTCATCTTAGTTGCTCTTCTTTGCACTTTTCCCAAAGACTCAGCATCTTTTTTGCAAAACTGGATGCAGTATTCCAGGTGTGGCCTTACCAGGTTAGTGAAGGACTATAGCTGCAACAGCTCCGCATTTAATACTTCTCATTAAAGGTGTCGTGTGGGAAAAAACTTCATTCGAACCCGCTGAGATTTATAGTCGCTGGAATCGTTTTCATGGCGGTGACGTGGCTATAAATAACTTATTGACAAATCTATCAACGGGCAAATTATGAGAGCCAGGTTGAAGCCGGTCGAGCATCTGGAATTTAAAGCGTATATCTATGGATAACTGAGGGAGACAAAAGCCGCCGTATATCCATCTCCTTATAATCACCGGGCATTTACCGTTCGTACGTTTTGCTTCAGCGCTGGGCAAAACGAGCTGCTTTTAAGACATTGTATTTGAGAAAAACCGGTTTATTGAGTTGCCACTTGTGTTAAAACCTCATCTCCGACTGGAGAGGCAATGACAATATCATTTCTGTGAACGTTGGTGCCAGATACAGTGTTGAAAATTGGCGACAGGTAGTCCTCGTCTTACGACCACAATTGAGCCCAAAATTTCTGTTGCTAAATGAGGCATTTGTGAAATGAGTTTTGCCCTGTTTTGCGACCTTCCTTGCCTCCCTTGTTAAGCGAATTACTGCCGTTGATAAGTTAGTCACCCGGTTGTTAAGTGAATCTGGCTCCCCCGTTGACTTGGCTTGTCAGAAGGTCGGGACCCAGCAACGGTCATAAATAGGAACCAGTTGCCCAAGCCTCTGAATTGTGATCCCATGACTATCGGGATGTGGAAAGGTCGTAACTGAAACACGGCCCTAAGTCCCATTTTTTTCAGTGCGTTGTAACTCTGAATGGTCACTAAATGATCGGTTGAAAGGACTGCCTGTATTTCTAGGGCAAATTTTGTCTGTGGCATCTGAAGTCCACTAAACGAGTGGTGCGGTGGCCTAGAGGTGGAGCTCTGGCCTTACAATCAGGAAGCTGTGAGTTCAATCCTAGGTAGAGCCAGATATTTCTCATTTTGGGCACAATGAGAATATATCTGCTGAACAAACTCCGCATTGGCGACAGGAAGGGCATCCGGCCAGTAAACACTCAGCTCCATTCAGTTGCCCAGACTC